AGAAAGCAATTTTAAGTGAGTTCAAAAATGAAATTCCAACAAAAGGAATGCCAAATATAACCAATGAATATTTTTTTGGACTTGAACAAGTTTTACAAGAATACTTAATGCTACAAATTCTTCAGACAATCATTATGTTATAATGTATTTTTAATTAATGATTGGCAATTACTTTTGGAGGTAAGATTTATTAAATGTTGGGTGAGAGAATATTATACCATATCAAAAAAAAGTAATTACTAATTAATACTTGCTTCTGGTTTAGCTAACAGATAATTTTTATTAAAAAGATATAGCAAGAGAAGATGATTATGATCAATCACAATTTCTTTTTTTATTATTACTAGAAAATATACTTCATGATTCGGTTCAGAAAGTGTGGAAAATAGTTAGGCATAGTAGACAAAACTCAGAGCCACAGTATATAATTCTCTTTAATGATAGCTCGCATTTGTATACTTGCCTTATACTAATTAATAGAGGAATTGTGTATTGGCACTTTTTTCGAGTTATTTCTTATTCAACTAAAGCACAGTTTCATATTTTCTTAATTTCTTGAAGGTGGTATCAGTGAATAAAATTCAAAGTCAAAATTTGGTGTATGTTGTACACCAAATTTTAGATTCAATATATGCAAAGTTCGATATACTGTAACAAGGCTAACTATATAGCGCACATTATTTTAAAAAATTATTAAAAAGTTGTGTGTGTTTTGCATACAGCATTGTATTTTTTTTGTGTGCAAAAAATTTTCTATGTGCAGAGCACACATGCACACGTCGAATTTTATTTACTGAATAGTATAACAGCAGCAAATATAATATTACTTAAGAAAATATACCTGCATACTATTTCACAAGAAATGAATCAGACCTTACCTTACCCAAACCTTTATTATTTCAACATTTGACAAGATTTAGACAAACGCCTAACATTGAGCAACTACAAGGTTCTAAACAAAAGTACGGATTTGGTATGGGTTATGCAAAGAAAGCTCTTGATCTTGCAATTCGAACTGACAAAGTAGAAGAATTTATCATTTACTTAAAAAATTTCATTAAAGAAGCCAAGGACAATTTATTTAGTATACAAAACAATGCCAAAACCATATTTATTGGAGATCCACTGCATGTTCTACATAAAAGTCAATAGCCAAATAGATATAAATCTGGTGGTGAGCCTTCAAAAAAAGTATGGCATAAAGCTCTAGCTAATGATAGTAAAGAAATGCATATTCAAAACACAACAGGGATATCAAGTGATAGGGATCCCTTCAACTCACCAACAATCACTTCAAAGATACCACATTTTACTGAACCTATTTTACCGACAAGATTTTTTTACAGATGATTAATTTACTGAAAATCGTTTTACTGATAGCTTAAATTTACAGACAAGTTTTCTTTACTGACACTAAAATTCACTGACAATATATTTCACCAACAATAAGACTAGTATTGACGGTAGAATTACAGCTGTTTTCATAAATTCCGGGACACCCTAAAAAAATTTGCTGAAGTCTATTCGGCCGAAGTCAATAAGTAATTAATTTTGAAATTTAGTATTAGATAATATCATATGAGGGAAGTCAATAGAAAAGGGACAAATCGTTTTTAGTAAAATTTTTTTAATTTTTAAATTAAAATATCTCAACAACTAATTAATCAAATTTGCTAAAAAATTTTTTATTTTAATCTTGAAATTATATAGAATTAAAATAAAAAAATTTTTATTAAATTTGATAAGATAATTGCCAAGATATTTAAGCCTAAAGTCAAGAAAACTTTTATTTAAAAAAAATTTGCACCTTTTCTATTGACTCACCCTCATATACATAATTTAATAAGATCAGGTGACTAATATATATTACAATACAGCAGTAAGACTAAAGTCAATATTCTATAGCATAATCCATTTTCGCTCAAATGAAGCCTTTATTCATTTCTTGACAAAAACTCATTTTTAAAAAATTATATAAAATTTTAATTCCTATTCTTTGGAAAAATCCATTTTTGCTCAAATGAAGCCTTTATTCATTTTTAATGATTTTTCAACAAAAATTCAAATTTAAAAAATTGTATAAAATTTCAATTACTATTCTTTGGCAAGATCTATTTTTATTTAAATGAAGCCTTTATTAATTTCTAATTAATTTTTTGACGAAATTTTTGTTTTTAAAAAATTAAGTGAAATTTCAATTAATATTCTTTGGCAAGTTCTATTTTCATTTAAACAAAGCTTTTATTCATTTCTAATTATTTTTTGATAAAATTTTGTTTTTAAAAAATTGTATAAAATTTAAAATTCTATTCTTTGACAAGATCTATTTTCGTTTAAACAAAGCCTTTATTTATTTCTAATTATTTTTTAACAAAAATTAGTTTTTAAAAAATTGTATAAAACTTCAATTCCTATTCTTTGGCAAGATCTATTTTTGTTTAAACGAAGGCTTTATTTATTTCTACTATTTTCATTTCTTTGTTGAAGAAAAATTCAGGTTTAAAAATTAAACTAAATTTCGATCCTATTCTTTGCAAGATCTATTTTTGTTCAAACAAAGATATTTATTCATTTCAATTATTTTTTATTTCTTGTCAAAGATGAAAATTTGTTATTAAAAAACTAAACTAAATTTCGATTCTTATTCTTTTGGCAAGATTTATTTTTGTTCAAATGAAAGCATTATTTATTTCTAATTATTTTGTTGAAGACGAAAAATATATAAATAAATATATATATATATTTTTTATTTTGATTTAGTTTATTATAATTCTTCATACATTCTTGACAGATATTAATAATAACCAGTTAACAAATTCATAATCATATTTAAGTTTTTTAATAGCAGCACCTGTTCAAGTAATATATTTATTATAAGGGTCTAGTTTATATTTGATTTCTTTTTACATTTTTTGTTAAGGTTTATTGGTTGACATAAAAGTTTTTTTTATAAATTCTCATACAAACTAAATATACCAAACATGTTAAACAAGCATTCATTGACATTATTGTTATGACATTGTAAAATAATTATTATGATTCAAAAATAGCTTTTCTTAATTATTTTATTATACTAATCATACCAAAATCAATTACTTATCGACTTCAGCAAATTTTTTTAGAGTGTTCCAGAATTTATAAAAACAGCTGTAATTCTGCTGCCAACACTAGTCCTACCCTTTTTATTGTCGGTGAAATATATTGTCGGTAAACTTTAGTGTTGGTAAAGAAAGCTTAAACTATCTGTAAAATGATTTTCAGTGAATTTTTGTATTGGTGAAAATTAACAAGTCAGTAAAACAAGCATATTTGTTAGTGAATTAATTGTCTGTAAAAAAAGCTTGTTGATAAAATGGGTTTGGTAAAATGTAGTGTCTTCGAAGTAATTGTTGGTGAATCAATATGGACCCCAAGTGATAGACAAGTTAGCACACTACAAGATTCAGAAAAAAAGGTAAGAAGATGTCAAAAATGTAAACAAGTTGGTCACTATACTCCACAATATCCAAACATTAATTAGGATAAGAAGGATAAGAATCTTAAGAATTTAGAAATATTAGAAATAGGTTACATGAAAAGATTCAGAAAAAAAAGTTAGAAATGTAATGTTGTTTAGTAGTATGGTAGAAATATATATTACACAAATTATTTTTTTTATTTTCTTGTAATAATGATAATATATATACTATAACTTAAATTAAATAAATAAATTATGGATCTTATTTAGTATAGGTGGGAATATATAAATGTTATAAGATTATTTAATATAAAAAAGCTCTAACCCTAACCCAAAGCTAACTATAAACTATACTATGATTCTCACCCTAACCCTAACTAGTCTCAAATCTGTTTAGATTAGTTCAAATAATTATTTTTATATTAAATAATCTTATACCTCACCTATACTAAATATCAACCAATTAAAACTTTAATATTTTAAAAACTGTCTGATAAAAATAAAACTTTAATATTTTAAAAACTGTTTGATAAAAATAGCTGAAAATTTTTTTATAGAAGGATCATAACCACTATATTTATACATACTAATAATATCTTTTAAAATGATTGAGATATTAATCTAAGTGCAAAATTTTTCAATCACCCCACGTATTACGTAATTTTTTAGAGAGAAGGGTTAGCAATTTATCACGTCAATATATCGCCATGATTGGCTGTTGATTATCACCTAGGGTTAGCCTTCTAATACTTAATAAACCTAATTTTAACTCTTGAGTCTAATTTTGCCAAAATAATTTGTAAAATTTCTATCCGGAACAGCCCGATTCTGATCCAATCTGAAATACGTGATCGCATGCGTAGCACTAGATTTAGATGTAGATTATTTCAGTATTTAGGAATATGCTGTGCATTAATACTGCGCCCGTCATCTGTTGAGAAGAGAAGAATAAAACATATACGTATACAGTAATAACATTTATCATTTGAGACTAAACGTGCAAAAAAAAAAAAAAAGCTACATTACATTGCTTTTTTTCTAAATTTTATATATATACCTGGTTATTGTATATAGGTATACATTTAATATATACCTACTAAATAAAAAAATTTTAAATTTTGAATTAAAATTTACTTTGCTTCGCCTTATTTCGAGTTTATTTTTTTTATTTCTACGTATTAGCCTTAAAAATAAAATAAATAAATATAAAATTAGCTATCCAATTGATTAGACAGTTAACCCGAAATGCATGTCATGAAACGGCCGTAAGGGTCAGTTCGGAAACTATTCAATAAATAACGAAGTCATTTCATGCATGAAAAATCAAAATAAGAAAAACGATGCGGTTACGCATCTAAAAGAACGCGGGTTATTTTTCATCCTAAATGAGCTATACGCTAAATGATCAACAATTCATCAAAAATCCATACGTCTAGACTTGGCGTAAACCACGTGACTGATTTGGCATTGCATGAGTTATATAAATCTTATAAATCCAGATTTCAGAAAAAAAACCTCAAATACTGGAAAAAAAAAAACTGTAATGGCAAATCTCGAAATTGATCTGGAGAGTGTTCGGCAAGATTACCGAGCGTCCTTACAAGATTTGACGTTTAACTCAAAACCAATAATAACAAACCTAACTATTATTGCTCAAGAGAACTTACCGGCAGCAAGGGCAATTGTACAAGCCATTGAGGACCAAATCAGAACTGTGAGTTTTTTCTTTTTGGAAATATCAAATAAAATTAGATCAGAGACCTTATAATATAATAGCTGCTTTTGCGAGTGAATAAGTGACATTATTTAGGAAGGCTTTTTGACGTTGCTTTTCATTTTTTGGCTGATTTATTTTAAAACCCGAATTCTTTTTTTATATCTTTACACATAAAGTGTCCGCCACCGCATAAGCTACCCGTGTTATATCTCCTTGATTCTATTAGCAAAAATGTTGGTGGTATATATATCCAATTGTTCGCTCGAAACCTTTGCAATACCTTTATGGATACGTATGATGTCGTAGATCAACCGACGAAACAAAAACTTGAGCGAGTTTTAGCCACATGGAAAAGTGGTCCAACAGGTGCACCAGTGTATTCAACTGAAGTAACTGGTCAAATCGAAAGAGCGCTACTGAAGCAGCAGAGGATGCAATCACGCGGATCAATAGATGTCGGAAGGCATATTCATATTAATCCTAATTTCTTAAGTGGAGCTATTGTAAGAATCATCTTCGATTATTTTTCTCATATTTAATGGCAGAACAAATCAAAAACTATGTGATCCTTTTCTCCCTAAATCTTAAATTTATGTTACAGGGTCAGAATACTTTAGCAACTTACCAACAACAAGCACAGCAATTACAACAATCACAACAAAATCAACAATTACAAGTTCAGCCAGTTACCCAGGTTCAACCAGTCCAACAAACGACAAATCAATGGGTTGATAACGCTAGGTATAACAATGGGATATCAGGATACACTGCAGCGCCAAACCGACAAGGATATTATACTCAGCAGGTTAGTTTGTTGACATAATACTCTGGATATTTAATTTGTCTTGGTGTATTTTATGTTCTTCTGTTCTTTTTACGTTTGCATACGCGTCTGCATCATTCCGATCTCCATGTTTATAATTTATTTAAGAATAATTTATTTTATATTTTTCGTGATATTTCATGTAATATACTTTATTATTGTCATACTTTTTTCTTTAAACATTGTATTGTCCAGCTTCTATAGTTCATCGATAATCCAGACTCGTCAATCTAATAATTCCGATGTTGGTTGCTATGTTGGTGGGAATATTATTAATAACAAATATACGTCAATTATAAAAGGGATGTAAGGGTGTAATCGATGTATAATGAATTCTCAGCTTAGTAATATTGCAAATGAATCGAATCATCGCCAAAAAAAAAAAAAAGATCCGAGAAAGGATCAAAAAAGAAAAGAAAAATCAAAAAAAGAAAAAAAAAATCAAAAAATTCCATAACAAAGAAAAAGAAAGAAAAAAAAAAAAAGTATGTGCATGAAAAGAAAAAAAAGAAAAAGGAGAAAAAAAAAAAGGGAAAAAAAAATAAAAAAAAAAACCAAAAAAATATAAAAAAAAAATAATAATAATAAGAAAAAAAAAAATAATATAAACAATCATGAAAAATTTTATAAACGAAAAGAATAAATAAACGAAAGATAAATGAAAAAGATACAAAACGAATAAGGAAACATGTGCTTTCTTGAAAGACAAAATAAAATTGTATTCCCTTCCCCTTTTTCACCATTGTGAATGCAGCTACCATGCCCGATAATGATTTTTTTGATGAATGTTTAAAGATACGTACATTGTAATATCATTTGCAATATGACTAACATTCTTTTATTCATATTCATTTTATTAGTATAATACTAAAGCGCCCGCTCAACCGTTGCAACAAAGTCAAGTGTTTGCTCCTCCACCGGATCAACAAAGACTTTTACAGGAATGTCAGCAATTGATTGTTCAACACCAACAATACGCTTTGCAAAATCCCACAGACTTACATAACCAAAATCAACTTGGAAGTTTACAACAGGTTAGCATTAGTAACTAAAATTGTGTGCTTGCCCAAGATTTTTTATTTTAATTATCCAATTTATCTCGTCATATAGCTCTCTGAAGCTATTCAGAAAGCGCCTCTAACAAGTGATCAAATACAACAAGTTCGGCAATTTTTTGCTACGCAGTTGTCTGTTCCCTCAGCAGCACCCACTCAAACTTCCAATCTAACTCATAGCCTTGCTGGTTCTATTTCTTTTACCGGTACGCATTATGTGTAAACGTCATCCATTATTCTTAATGTTCATCTAATTTATCTAATAACCTCAATTTAAGTACCAATTCTTAATCCACCCGTTGCTACACCAGTTTCTATGGCACCATCATCTGTGGTACCACCGTCCGTTTCATCACATGGCGCTCTTGTACCCGACCCAAACGCGCTGGTGAAAAATTTGATGGATTTCGGCTTACTTGGAAGTGGAAACATGGTTGGAGGTGCGGGTGGCACTGTTACATCCGCTAATGTAGGCGGATTTGTTGGCGGAAATACCCCTACTCCACCCCCGTCAGGTCCTACGGCTAGTGATGCTCCTATGCATGTAAATGATTTAGAAAAAATTCAATTAACCAGCAATGACATCCAACGGTAAGTTTAATCTGGAATAATTTACAAATTATAAAAGGTTAATACCGATTATCTTAATAAACACTAGTAAGCGTGATGGTGTTATCGCAATATTATATGACGCTTTGCCCCTTCAATGCAAGCAATGCGGCTTTCGGTACGCCAGGAATGAAGGAGGTAAGGCGAAAATGGATGCTCATCTTGATTGGCATTTTCGCCAAAATCGCAGGATGAAAGAAAAGGCCAAGAAAGCACAGAGCCGAAGTTGGTTTGTTAGTGAAGAGGTCGGTAAATATATCATGTTTTGAAATTCTATAACAATCTTTTTGAGCATTGGAAAATCTTTTAAAGAGCAATTATATAAATTTAATATCATAAGGACTGGATTCACTCACGTGAAGCGGAAATAAAAAGTACACAATCGCCAGCTTTTTTTGACTTTGAAAACGCCAATGCTGCTAAGGGCACGGTGGCTTCGCAACCAAAAAAGGACGAGGTGGTCAAGGAATCTACGGTTATTGTTCCGCTTGATCCTGAAAGAGCTGGTAGGCCTTGTACTATTTGTCAAGAAAAGTTTCAGGTTTTCTGGAATGATGCAGATGAAGAATGGTTGTTTAGAAATGCTATAGAAGTTGAAGGTGTTATTTATCACGCAACTTGTCATGCAGATGCTCTTAAGGTTTATTGAATTTTATGAATTTGTGTAAGTGATTATCGTAACCATATTAATATGAATCCTTTGGCTTAGAATCAAGAAAATGCACAATCAAGTGGCAATGCAACATCAAGTACTGTTCTTGGAAAACGAAAACCCGATTCGGTAAATTACATTCACAATTAATTGTGCATAGTGGTCCTTGCCAATAATGAAAAAATCGGCTAAAGCTAACTTTCTGCTTAGCTGGTCGATTTTTTTCAAAATCGGCTGATCAGATTTCTTATATTATAATATTTCACTATAAGTTTTGCGTAACATTAAATATACTTTATCGTTATATCATTAGAGATATAATGCGTAAACGATGTATCCAAATAATGAATGAGAAATAATGCAATATTTTAATTAAGGTTTTTAATTAGAGTTAGGGTGTTATTTCCAGAAATCTGGAATACCCAATGGACTTTTAGATTTTCCAATATTCCAATAAAAAGAATAATTACATGAGACTTTTTATCTGTAATGCTTTAAACCCGCTCCGACTGGCAGTTTTAAAAGTTGAGTAGTAATAAACTTTTTTCGGGTATGACCTATAATCTATCCCGACATTTTCCCGATGTATTTTAACAACCAACCCTTTGCTATGCATTGTTAAGTCTTATGCTTTTAGTAACTAAGCTATTAAAAATGTGGATCATTTTTTATAAAAAATCGATCTATTAGCGTTAGTAAACCTTTTCAAAAACCAATTTTGAGTCTGAAACCGGGTTTATTTCATAAGTTAAAATCGATGAAAATTTGGTTTTTAAATCTAAAATTTTATCTCTAGTATTTAATTTAGATAGTTTTACTAAATCACACCAGTGGTGTTTAACACCAAAATCGTTATAATCGATATCTCAAAAGCTAGCTAAATTATTAATGCGGATTCATGTTCAGCACTTCCAAAAACCTTATAATAATCTAAATTTTACCTCTAATACTGATCTTTATCTTAACCTATAACAGCACTCTAAGTTTTTACTAGTGAAATTATTAATAAAATATATGTGGTATTGAACATCATTGGTGTGATTTATTTTTATTGAATTTAAAAACCAGATTATTTTATTTTTACTAATTTATATTAAAAAAAATAAAAAATCAAGCAATAAATAGTGTTAGTATATGGGTTCGGGGCATGGAGGCACAGGCATGCATTTTGGGGGATGCCTATAGGGCATGCCTATGGGCAGTGTTGTACATTGGACAAAATTGGACATAAAAAAACACCTTAAATATGACTTTAATTCAATAATTAACTACATATTAGTGAATATTTTTTTGGACCCAATTAAATTTTTAAAATAACCACTTTTATAAATCAAATCCAATCATTAAATTGGTATTGGACATTGTAAATTTTCAATGTCCAAGTCCAATCAGACCACTAAATTTATTGGACATGATATCACTGCCTATGGGCATGTCACAGAGCTGGTGGGCATGCCTTAGTTATATTGTGTAACCTGTACGCTTATTGGCTTGATGCTACAATATTATAGTAACTGGCTATATAAATAGTTTTCAAGTTATCAATATTTTTAAAATATTATACAATTAATACTAATAAAATATATAGATACATATACAATTTACAAAATTAATACTTAAAAGTCAACAATTAGAACTAAATATTTTTTTAAAAATTAACAATAATATAAAAGTTGTAATATATATTATTAATTTATTTTTTAATTTGTTTTTTATTTAAAAATATATCCAAAACAAAATAATTAATTAGAGCTAGTTTTTTATTAAAGCTAGAATAAACTTATAGATAAGGCCATGCAAACAAATAAAGTTGGTTCTCGTTACCTGGCCGGGTAACTTTTTAGAAAAGTCAAAATTTTTTTCTATATAAAATTTTTTATTCTTGTATGAAAAAAAAAATTATAAAATTTTTTTTATATGAAAAAAATTTGTAAATATAACATTTTTTGCTGGCCGGCCGGGTCCTATTTGCTTGTTGCATGTAACGAGAACCAACTAATTTAATTTGCATGGCCTAAAATATCTTTTTTGATATTTTTTATTAATAGATTTAAACACTTGTTTTTAATTTTGTTTTACTTTTAAAATTTTACAATTTGATTGGCTAATTAATATAAATCTTTTGAGGCATGCCCTTTGGGTATGCCTCAATCTCAGGCATGCCCCTGTAGGCATGCCTAATTTTTAACTCTAGTTAGTATATATAGCAGTAAAAAATAGTTAAACAATAAACAAAATAAAATACTGTATATATATATATATATTGGCTAGATGCTGCAAAAAAAAAGTAAATCGAAGGTGTGGCGGCTTAGTGAAGTGGTCAAGTCGTCACCCTCTCCAAGTAGCAGGTCTAGGGTTCAAATCCCATGGATG